AAGCAAAACACTTGCTATTGCAATTGTCTTAGACTTGAGACAATCATTAATATTTTCTTAAAATATTGAGTCGAAATATCACTATATTGCGTATTACTGCATCATCTTATAATGAGATCTAGACATAAACGAAATTCAAGGAAAAAACAGAGCTTTTTTCATTTACTTTAAGGTATACCAAAATTGTGTATTAAGTATATTTCGCATAATGTATCAATTATAGGATGCGCTTGCAAGTTATATTGACCAAGTGTTAATGTAGGCTCTCATGATGGTCGCGTGATGTACTGGGTTGGTATGGACTGATTTATACATGCTGTCAGCAAATTTAGATATCGCGTGTGGTGGTGTGATGAAAACAGCACGATATAGAGTCATTTTCAAAAACATTTCTTTTCCGTGTGTTTTAAAGTAAAAGAAAAGCAATATTTATCTACATATATTGCTGTTATGTCCAGGAGGAAAAAATAAACATCTTTTTTATCGTCAACATTTTTTTTTCAGTTTCTTTTTTTCACAGATGTCTGAAATCCACCCCAGACAAAATTTAATATCTGGGCCAGGAAAATGATGACAGAACCTCTCTGACATTCAATTATTCCCTAATCTCAAGTGCCTTTAATGAGTGAAAGTGAAAAATAGTGAAACTTGTGATACAAAACGAGTTAAATAATACAGACTGCCGTTTGTTAGCATTACATCTAAGCAGTAGATCTTTCCACAAAACCCATTATATTTACATTTCAAAACATGAATGCAAAAGTCGGAGTTTTTTTTAACTTTGCATCAGACAACGTCAAATTTGTTGTTTTTGTACATATTTTCGGCGTCGTAACATTGTTTATCTTGACTATTGTTTATAAACATGTCCACGCTCGGTTAATTACGAAGAAAGCCTAGTCGGTCACATGGCTTATCACGTGAAGAAGTCATTCATTTCCGCTACAAAGAAAAAAATGGATAACGAGGAAAGTGTAAACAAACACACTTGTCTTATGTATGACACTTGCTTTTGCGCCTTTCTGCTAATTCTTGTTTGCAGTAAATGATTCTAAAGTGTTATAATATATAAATTTTAACAATCAATCTTAGTAATTCGTTTTGTTTTGGCTTGTCGTGCGAGAATTATCTATGTCAATCGCGGGTGCTAAACTAATTTGGCCCGATAGGGGGTAATTACAATAGGAAAAGAAAACTCATTGTGCAGAAATTCACAGGAAATGATACTTTGTCTGTACACATTAATATATATTGTTTACCATTCAACATGTGTCTATGTATTTATTATGAAGGTTATGTTTATCACCACTGTCGTTATTCTCACAGTAACAACAGCACGGTCATATTTTTACACTTAGAAGAAATACCCCCAATTGGGCCCCACCTTGCAGTCAACAACCAACACGCGTTGTCGATAGTAAATTCAAGTGAATAAACAACTATTTTCATTCAACATTTATCACATAACACTTTTAGTAATGTTTTTCATAATATATTCACGCGCCAAACACTAGATATTGGATTATAATCAATGACAGGCGGATACGTTATAAATATAGGGCTGACGTTAAGCTAACCAGTGAAGTAGCAGCTTCGCAAATTCCGAATCCGTATTCAGTCCAAGATCCTCCTTCATCTTTCGCCATCTATCGATCTCCTGTCTAGTATAAATTCTTGTCTTAGTAATTAACAGAAAGTCTTAGTTTTGTAATATATTATTGGAAAATAGACGTTTTATATCGTATTCTCGTAGTGTTTTGTTAACATTATTGTCGCTTTAATAACATTAGCTGAATTAATATAACCATGTTTTGTGATTGCTTTACCTCTTATTACATACCAATGTACTGAAATACTGAATCAACATTTAAAAATGGTTATGAAAAACGTGTTACATGGAGATTGAATCGGTCAAAATACTGGCCGACAGGATAAAAAGTTCATTGGTTAGAAATGGTCGTGTCTATGAACCTGTATACCTCGTGACAAAATATCAACCAGCCATTAACTGTTTACATTAGTGAAATTGTATCTCTAAGAGGTGTTCTTTGCAGATTTGAAATGCAAGGACTACCAAGAAGACCTCATATTTTATTACCTTTGAATATATTATATACATGCTTTTTGGTTATTTTTCGATGGAATAACAAAACTCTTTTATCTGAAATACAGTTCAACCACAATTAATTTTTGATTACAGTACCGAGAAGTATATTTATTCATACTTTTGAACAAACACTTGAGAAAACGTTATGTGCCCTCAAACAACAGGTATACTTCTGGGTCGTTGTACACTTGAAGTATAAAAGGAAGTTTTAGGTCAGTTAAAACAAAATTCTTTCTTATTTATGCCAGACGTGATAAAATAACACAATAATGACTATAATCAAACTTCCGGGTTGTTGTACAAAGGAAATGTCAGGTCAGTTGATGAATTCTTTTCCCTGACTTTTCTATGGCAGGCTTGTACTTATTTTTCTTCTTCTTTTCATGGAAATAATGTGAAATACCATGGGGATAACATTGTTTTATCTTTCTTAAATGCAGACTATGAGTTACTTTACGTTCTGATTTGATATATTAACAAGATTATTAACTGTGGTTTTAGGCCTATATACAAGTGAACTTCCATTCTAGATATTCGGACCGTGTCCTGAAAATAGACACAAACCAAGATGTTTACTCTTCCTGTGTATTCATACATGAGGTAGTTGTTTCCAAAGGACATTTCAAGTATAAATGAGCGACATGATTGTATAATACTTTGTTCCCTAAACGACTCATTTTACTAATTACTTAAGTCACGGGTTCCCGTTTTTGGCCCAAAGATTATGCTTCCTATTTAAGTCAAACAGCTGCGCATATGTCAGTACAATGTATATTATGCTTCGACTGAATCTATTATAAAGTCAAACATTTCTCAACACAGAAAGTAAATACTACAATCGAATATCTAACAGAATTACATTTTGGTGGACGACTCACCGAATTTGTATTCATACGCTTGACCAGATGTTGATGATAACTATTACAATAGCTATGTTTATCAGAGACGTTTTATTCTGTTCCTCTTCCTCCAAACCAGGAGGTCTGAAATAAGGTACTTTAAGATTGTTTACAGACTGACACTCAATTATATTTATCTTCATACAGCCTTGTAAAAAACAGAGTGTATTGTTAAGTCGATATCCAATCCATCTAAACATGAGATGTGTTCCTAGGCTATACTGCTATATTACTTACTTTGAACTATCTATGTACGTAAATATGAGCTCTTTATTTATGATTCATCGATGGAAAACAAAGAAAATGACCAAGTAAACTTAAATCAAATTCGCGTGAGGAGACATAAAAAACTTTTACTGAACCCGTTTAAAAAGGAAATATTTTCGTAATCTTGTACGAAGGTCATGTTATATATTTGGAGCAGTATGAAAACCGGTTTCCATTAAAACTCATTATAACATTTACATATGTTGCGGCTACTTGCATTCTCAACATTTGTTCCTGAGCAGCTGTTTCGTATTTCTGATAAATGTCTTGTTTAAGCTAATTTTGCTTGAGATTGTGACACATTTGTTTCACACTGGTAATTATACGCAGTGTAAACGTTCTTATATCACATCCAATCAAAACTTATGTGTGATGTTTCGATAATTACACTGTCATCTTCATGAGAGGTGTGGAATACTTTTTCCATGGAAAGAATATTGAACGTATCGACAGGATATTCCGGCGGTGCTAAAATCCTACTTTTATTTCTGGATATCAATATTCCTGCATCCCCAACCTCTGGTCTTTACACGTCTCAGATGATTCAATATACAAGGTCCTGTTCCCATACGCACGATTTTTATCCTGCTAGAAGTCATCAACTAATAGACAAACTCGTAACACAGACTACAGTCTTCATAGTGATTTCAGTGAGAAATATTCTATTTTATTGTGGAATATGAGGGTGGGCGTATTTGATGCTCGTTAATTTGCTTACTGGTTCCGTGGTTGAATACCTTGTTCTCATTTGAGAATGTGGCACTACTTTCTTTGATTGAGCAAGGGTTTTATTGCATTTGAGATTGGATGATGACTACGTTGATCTGTTGGTATTTTCTTCTTATTATTTGTTTACATCAAGCTGGAAAGTAACATGACGGAAATGATACACGCTGAATTCAATTATACAATAGTGTAACTTCTGTACAACACATTTCCGTGAGTTTGCTTAATTTTTAATGTATTTGTAATGAAGATAAAATAAAACACCGCGGTAATCTGCTGAACGATATTTTTGCAGTTTCAATATTATAGGTAAATATCATTGAAATGTATGTTTATGTCTCAGAAGTCGAATTTATTTATTTGGAATAAACTATATTATCGTCAGACATTTGTAAAAACTTATGCAATTACCTGAACAATCAGCAAGCCCGATTTTAGAAACAGGATATTTAAGCCCGCAAAATATGTCTATAGTTAAGATAGAAAGATGGTTAACCAATGTATGTTGTTTTCAATACTTCCGTTTCAACCTTCGTTCTCGGGAATTTAATGATCGTGATACGTCGTGTAAGGTAATGGTAAGCCAGGAATACCATAACAAACTCGTGAGTTTATTTCCAGCAGATAAAATTTTAAAAATAACATATTTAATTGAAACTTCCAGCTTTATTGTCTAGCCTTAGTTGGCATGATGTTAAAAGGAATAACGGGAAATTATAAACAAAATAAACAGAGATTATATATTACTAGAGGCACAGAAATAGTGATTGTTTGCTATGTGCACACATACACTCATGTCTATATATAGTCAATACTAAATATGTGCACCAAAGCGTGGCAAAAATATGGGTAGTGTAAGGTAGACGAAGACGCCGTTATTGACAGTCATGGGGTTTGATTCTCTGTCAATGAACATATGTGCGTGTATATGAATAGTACATTCACGTCTAGCAATAACGTTTACACTTCCTTGTTGCTGTTAAATCGCAATTTTGTTAATAATGGCTGTTACAAGAGCTGTGTTTACCAGGGATGTGTTTCTGATCCTATTCATCTTCCTCCAAACCAGCAGATCTGAAAGTAGGTGATTTAAAGTTTTTTGACAGACTGACTATAGCAATTTGACTGATTTACTTCGGTGATAGATTTGATAATTTAGCTAGATTACTGCTGTATGGGTAAAACCTTGTTTGCCTTGGTATTTGGGGGTACTGTGTAGAATTGAACATAACGTATTATATTGTAGAAATGTTGTACAATTACCATATGATACGTTTATTGCATGTCATTTTGACATTTGATGTCTACCGAGAAAAGTATTTTAGATATATATGTATTTACATTTATGAATTACGAAAGTATTACTTTGCATCAATAATAATAAATAAATGATTTTTTTAGCTTTTTGTAATGATAAACAGATTTAATGACACCCTTTCCACAGAAAGTGAAATTGGGAACTATAGGAGAACAGACAAGGGTTTCGCCGAGAGTTGAAACTTACCAAGTGATATATGTGTTTGCTCTCTCCTGTTGACTTACCTGATCGCAGGTGTGACATTATTAAATTGTTTAAGATACAATACTTCCTCCACATCAGCAGATCTGAAAGTAGGTTGTATAAAGTTGTTTACGGATTTGCACTGTTGAAGAGTACACACAAAAGACGTTGTACTTGACTGTGCGATCTATAAGTTTCCTATGTTTGGAACATCTAATAAGATAAATAATATAAGACACTGAATACATGTTTCATCGTATAAATCATATCGATCGTAAAATGTTGCAGGTAATCTCGCTTTATTGAAGAATGCTTCGCAAAGTTCCGATCTTGGCGATACATGGACAGCCAGTAAAGTTGTGGATAACTGTGTGGCTACAAATATTGCAAAGGGCTGCTGTACACATACAAAACCTGGAGTTCACAAGGAGGCCTGGTGGCGTGTAGATCTTGGAGAGTTAATGACTGTAGATAAAATCAAAATTTATTACAGACGTGAGTATATCAGTCAACAATTATACTAAAAACGTATACATCAGATATACAGTTACGTCAAAGTTTCAAAACACTTACAGTTGATTAAAATACTTATATAGCTCCATATATTGTCCTTGTTGCCTTTACGATACAATACACACATATTTACCAGTTGCAGTACTGACCAGGACATACATAAGCTTAAACAAGCCACGCATTTACCATACACATTACTGATAATGATAAAACATCATCAAACAAGACACATATTCAATAAATACGTGCGTCTCAAGAACAGACTTAGTGTTAAACATGACATAAGTGTAGCAGATACTTTATAGATAAATACAAAGACATAACAAGACACATAAATCAGTCACACTACTGACATGGAAAAAGAATAATTAATCAAGACATGTATTGACCAGAACACATTACTGAGAAGGACAAACAAATAACACGATACATGTTTACCAAACATGTTACTGAAATCAGAATATATATGAATACACAAGTTTCATATATACTAAGCACATTTCTGTCAAGGACAGAGTCGTTTCGTTGAAACATATCTATCGGACATTTTACTGAAACGGAAATAAGCATGATTAAAGGAGACAAAATAAACCAGACACTTTCAAAGACACGACAAGTAACATATTTTATTAAGCACAAGACACATATTAACAAGACGTATTGTTTCCGTTACCAAACAAGCCACACATTCACCAAACACAATGCTGTTAATAAGATAGACATTTTCATTTTATAAAGATTTAATTGAAAAAAACTAGGTATCAGGGAACAAACTAAAACTTACATGAGCTATATCCGTTGTGTTGACAAATGTCTATATGATTTATAATACAGGGAACATAACGATCATACGAGCAACTGACATATTAAGACAAACTACCTCCCCTATATTGTGTTTACCAGAAACTAATTCAAGCATTTCTGGTATGCCCATAGACATGGTATGATGAAATAAGATACGTATTTACCAGGCATACCACTAATAAGGACATAAACATTATTCAAAATAATGCTTAAATAATCAACTCGCCAAAATTGTTTTTATCTTGAAATATCATATATTATATTAAGAACCGAGTAAAATTATATCATTGGTGCAGCTATACTGCTTTCAACTGTTAACGTATCCATTCATTATTATTGAAAAAAATGGTAATAATAAGAAATCGATTTACTTTCGAGTTATCAAGCAAAAACTGGTTTATTTAAGGCTCACAGTTCCCTTCAATTATTATCTAGCAAATAAAACACTTACAAACACAATAAGTACCGAGCAGGGAACGACCGGTATAAAATATAGTTTAAAATATGGATATACAACTATTTGTCTGTACTTCGAACGTAGCTTTAGATACAGTTTAAAGTATTGATTTCTTTTTAGTGAAAATGTTAACTATAACAGGAATAAAGTTATCTTCCATCAGATTAGATTTATGTTTTCTCCAATTCTGTTTGCCAATTAACTCAAAGAGAAATAAAAGGGAATTTATCAACATGGTTCAATTATTTTCAGGAACGGACATGTGTGCTTTACTATCAGTTATTCATTCCTTAAATAACTCTATCGACATGATTAATGCAAGTCGAAACTGGCGTTAATTCTTGTTTTAAATAATGAAATAAACATATCAAAGTAATTTTGCACTTGTATTGTACATGGCAGGTAGTTTCGCTGGTTATCTACGCAAATATTAGGTGCTTGCCAAATCCGGATATGTTTACTGAACTATAATAATGTTAACATTTGTACTTATCCACTTTTATTGGATTTTGAAATCATCACACCTACAGTACAAACACAACACACAAATGTGCATATATTTTAATTGTGAATTAAATGATAACACTTTCATCTTTATTATAGACGGTTTTCAATACAGACTTGCGGGTTATCATCTTTACCTGTCTAATACCACCGACACACCGACCCAAGGTGCCCTCTGTTATGAGGATAAGAGTATTGAAAAGACTGATGTACAGTTGGTGGTAACACATCAGTGCCCGTATGTAGCCCAGTATGTCACCGTCTACAACTATAGAAACAACACTACGCGGAAAGGATGGTATTCTAAATACGCTGTTCTTGAGTTATGCGAGGTACAGGTGTTTGGTAAGTATAACCTCGTTTGACATAATCTAGAATACGTCGCTTTCTAAAAACGGGATGATGCTAACAACTGAAATGTGTCAGAATATTAAACACAATGTTGTAATTAAATGTTGTTCGGTTACTCTGGAGATCTAGGATAGATCATCTAAGACTTAAATATCATCTACTGAAAACAAGTTTTCTGCATGTTAGAAATATCTATCAAAGTTAAATATATTAAACATAAATAATGTTATATAACATAAATATACATGTGTATGTTTGGGTCTGTAGACACATGTAGAGATCTCAGCTCTTAGCAATTGCAACCATTGGAATTTCGAGGACTAGTACGTGTAAGATTAGTCAAATTTTCTCAGTTTTTCGATCTTTATCTAAAAGGATGAACATGCATATCAACATATTTTATTGAATTTTTGCTTCATGTATATTTCCTTCATCCGCTTCCTTTTACCTGTCAAATCAAATTACTGTACCATCAAACTTCTACTTCCTTGTTTCTGTGCAAACAACGACTAAATTCGACTTGTAAAGTTGAGACTCTTATGTAGATATTAATCGCAGTTCGCTCTCAAGAAGACACAAAGCACGATGGTTTCATCATATTTTCAATGCAAATATCATTTGAAGATATTTGTATATTACGTCTTTAAAGTATGATGCATTAAAAAAGGAAGCACCATCGCAAGATTCGACACATTTGATAAATATTTTTACCCAAGCGGCACTAAAAAGTCACACGTTTTTGTGTATCCCCTTAAATACATCAATTACCTGATAGAAACACGTTTTTCTTTTCATAGCCATAAGATATCAGATTGAGTTTTATTTAAGTAAGGTATCTGTTTACAGCTATTATATAAATCACTTTACACTGTACAATTCTGGGGAATATTACACCTTCTTCTATGTACAAGTGTTACTTTTGTGCTTTATCGGTGTTACCTTCATCCTTTATCAGTGTTACCTTCATCATTTATCAGTGTTACCTTCATCCTTTATCAGTGTTACCTTCATCCTTTATGAGTTTACCTTCATCCTTTATCAGTGTTACCTTCATACTTCATCAGTATTACGTTCATCCTTTACCGGTGTTACCTTCATCCTTTACTGGTGTTACCTTCATCCTTTATCAGTATTACCTTCATCCTTTACCGGTGTTACCTTCATCCTTTACTGGTGTTACCTTCATCCTTGATCAGTATTACCTTCATCCTTTATCAGTGTTACCTTCATCCTTTACCGGTGTTACCTTCATCCTTTATCAGTGTTACCTTCATCCTTTATCAGTGTTACCTTCATCTTTTATCAGTGTTACCTTCATCCTTTATCAATATTACCTTCATCCTTTATCAGTATTACGTTCATCCTTTACCGGTGGTACCTTTATCCTTAATCAGTGTTACTTAAACTCCAACTAGGGTAACCTTTATTTATAACCATTGTAAACTTCATGCTTTATCAATTATTTTTATTTCAATCTCTATTTTATACAAGTTTTTTGGTGTTTTTTTTTTTTTTTTTTGCGCTTGTGTATGTGAGTACCACAGTATTCAGGCAAATGATAAGTATAGGGGTATTTAATTACGTGCTACCTTTAACACGCAAACAGAGAGAAATTAAATCCTCTGTGAATATTACCAACTACACAATATATTAAAACCTCTTCCATCTAAACACAACAAAATTGTAATAAGTCATCTGTCTCAAATACCTCTGGTCTTTATTTCTAGGGTGCAAAACATTAGGTAACCAATCATTTTACAATGTTCAGTAATTACATAAGGTACCAGGTATATTTTTCATGTACATGTAAAGCAATGAGACACATTTTAAAGTAAAAATGTGGAGAATGAAAGGAGTCTAGACAGCCATTTTGTTGGATAATTTTAACACATGATATTTAAAAGCCCCTTATACCACTTATATAGTCATGTCGTGTTTTTCAGTCATGGGTTCTTAAAATGCACAGCATTATTCAAATCTTCAGAGCAAATATATTGAAAAGCTACAGTTCTGAAAACAATACATCTAATTTTGTGGTGAAGGTGTCAAATTATGAAATTTAAATGTTAGAAAACTAAGTATACATTCATAGGTTTTAAAGCAGGGCAATCAAAATCTTGTACACTATTCATATAAGGGAAAGATAAAGTTTACCATACTTCAAATCATACATTAATGAATGTACATGCAGTGTAGCTAGAGTAGGAACCAAGGAAGTCTCAATTTTGGTAGTGCCAATCAAATTTCCACTAAACATATAAGTTTTGCTTATGGGGAATGAGGAACATGAATTTTTAAATCGATATACAATTCCTTTTGGAATTATACTGATGCACACTTAACACATGGTTATGATAACAGTAATGTCAAGGTATCTGGTGTAACGTCGCTCCACAAAGGTTTCAGTACTGATTTTAAATGTCAACTGTATAAAGTACACTTTTAAGTGAAAATTTGGTGTAAATACCTTGCGGTATTAGTTCGATTTGGTGTTCACAATGTAAGGGTAACACTTGTTGTTGAGATTCTGGTGTAAAGTCACTCTCTAACGGTGTAAAGTAACACTTTTAGGTGATAACCTGGTGTAAAGTCACTCTTTTAAGGTGTAAAGTAACACTTTTAGGTGATAACCTGGTGTAAAGTCACTCTTTTAAGGTGTAAAGTAACATTTTTAGGTGAAAATCTGGTGTAAAGTCATCCCCTTTCGGTGTTAGATAACGCATTTACACCGATTTAGGATTGAAGTAACACAAAATGTCGGTATACTATACACTTTTCTTTGTTGTGATTAACTTTACATCAGAAATGGTGTAACCATAAATTTTACACTAAAATAGAAATGAATTTACACGTTTAAAACATCATATATGGATGAACGTTACACTAAAAGTGTAGTTGTTGATGTCTAGAGTGTATAGATGTTGTATTATCAGAATATCGAACATTTCTACGTACTTGAGAATTAAGTCAGGGAGGTCTTTTCTTGCCTGAATATTGATAAAATTGCATTGGTCTGAGGTGAAACAAACTTTCAGTCATATCTGTTTTGGTATGATTTCAAACATGTTTGAGCGTAAACTAAAAGTTCAAAACGTGTATTGAAATGTCTTCGACATCATAATCTAGCCGGAATACGAGGGCTAGATTACCTATACATAAAATATCCGTTATAACTTCTTCAAGTTCTTCCGGACTGAGATCGATTGAACAGATAACCGAAAAAAAATTAATCAATGGTGTTTGAAGGTTTGTACAATATCATGTGGAAGTAATTTAGCATTCAAGACACGAATTTATCATTGAAAGTAAGGTGTAAACCAAACAAATAACCACATATGGATTAAACACGTTTGGCTGGCTGGCTGGCTGACACAAGTTGACGAACTAGCGTTTCATGTACTCACAGAAATTGAAACACACGAAACGATTTTAAACAATTTATTGGTTTGTAGAAGATTAACCATTTTAACAGTTATTTAATTTGAAATACATTTCCAAACATCTATGAGGTTGTCAGTTTTACATATTTATCAGTTTCATTTCCATACAGCTCATACCATTACGCCCCTACTGATATCCATTGTATTCATCGCAATAGGTCTTTTATTGTGGTAGACACAAGTCAGACCAAACCGTGAATACAGTTTATGGTATGTACTTACATATCGCTAAAGCTGGCATCCCCTTTTGTGTTTTTATTGGAAAATAACAACACTCTGATGAAACTCATACCATATACAAACAACACTTATTATGTAACCTCTTTATTTCTGTCGGCTTAGAATTATTTTTTAATGAAAAGGGACATCATTGACTGTGGTTTTCTGAATGACAAACATCGCAAAAACTGATAAAACACCGACACGTTTTGTTTTATCCTGAAACAGGCTGTCAGGTAGGGAGTTACGGTGATGGAGACTGTGATAATCTATGTCCAGACAATTGCTATGGCGGCAACTGTAATCCTACGACCGGATCTTGTTTGTGTAAGTACTAAAATTAAAAAACTAAATTAAAAGATAACGCATTTTATTGTATTTTCCATTCCATTAAATTCTTAACCTCTACATGAGCTCCTGAATTGCTCAATCTATGACCTTTTTTGTGGGTTTGGCTATTCATTTTCTTCGATTGATTGGCGTTCTATATTTCATCTATTGTGCTTTGTTTTGTATCCGATATTTTACTTTTTATGTTGTTCAAAGATCTTTACGTGGTTTAAAGTATTTTTCTCATACGACTTCTATCTAAGAAAACTGTTCCCGTTTTTATACTGGACTGTATATAACCTTCTCTATTCTATTTGATTAGATTGTATAAAAGATACACAGATGAATGCCGCTGTTTAATACAAATTTAGAAGAGATATAGTACAGTCAAAGCATGAGCTAAACTTTCTATCATACAATTGTCCTTCTAGGACTCGTCAGTGAAGCTAAGAGGCTAAATGTTTAATCTATGAGATGATACAAGAACATCCGATGTGATTGAAATAAGGACCAAAACCTAGAGGTGTCATAGCCCCATTATTCATTAAATTTGATATATCTGTTCAGTTTAAAAGAACGTCAAGTACACAGGTATATTTTGAATTGTGTCATTATTAGAAGGAATAGAATACATAAAGATCGGAGACGAGTATTCTACAAGCAGTGTCTCTCAGTTGTATTTTCCTAGATTGTATAAAAGAGAAAAAACATCATATAATTTCTGTGTTTAAAAATAATCATGATATTTTGCTCAGCTGTAAATATTTTTTATTGATTAATAACAAAAAGGATATATTTTTCTCGCTTGCATATTGCGCTCAATTTCGGGTATGCTATTTACAAGGCCAAATTCGTTTACTTGAATATGAAAAAATGCCCACAAATTCAATGCATCTGTTAACAGCCCTAATCACCATTATGAATGACATGACAATCCAGTCTTCATTAAATGGTTTTCTACTTCAAGATATAAGCCCTAGAATTACACGATCACTTTCTCCGCAACAGAAAATATTCCAATTTTTTACCTTAATCAACGCAACAAGTATGATATGCTATTTGGATCAAATCTAAAACTGTCGGATGACATTTTTCGTTAGTTTGAAGTTTTTAATTTTGATGATCTGTAGTTACGTTATTACCTAATTATCTAATTATTCATTTATTATATATGTTTGGTAATATGTACAGAAATAAAGCAGTACGAATTCGAACTGTACATCCACTTTAATTTGATATGGCTTCATATAGTGCTCATTAACAGTACAACATATATAGTATTACCAAATAAAACACCTTTCGCTTGCATGCTGTGTTCATGGTACATTTCATTCTCTTTCCAGATTGCTTTCCGGGGAATTATGGCATTAACTGCAACAATATTTGTCCCGTGAACTGTGGAGACTCTATTTGTGAGAAGGACACTGGGTTTTGTTTTCGTATGTAATTGACATACATTATACATATATAGAGATAAATCGAAAGCAATGATAAAGACTGTAAAAATAAGTTTGCTGCAACTCGGAATTTGATAAAGAATATAACAGTTTGAACTTTATTCAGTATACATATCTAAAATCTTTGACATTTCACTTTCATGATTTTACTCTTGTGAAAAAACCCTCTTTTGCTGATCTACTTTCATTCTCTCTATCACGGCATGCTTCTTCATCCTATGGCAATTTTTTTAATGTTTCCACATCTTCTCTCGGCCGTGCTCACTTCTTACCCTATTGCTCGAATTACTTCAGTACCATTTTGCAACTTTTCTCTTCGCAGCTAATGCTGTGACTAATCGGCTACTTATCTCGATCTTTTCCTTCAACGAAACCAACTTTGACAGCTGTCCACCAACTGTATGATGAATTGTTAATTGCCATTTTCCTATTGTGATTTTTTCATATCTTGATCGCAATATTTCCAACATGCATGTCGCTATTGATTGGATATTCAAGGGCTTGTTTCCATTATCACAATTTCTGCGGAAGAAGTCGTCAACTAACTTAAAAACTCGTAGTACAGGGTTTAGAATATGAAGGTTGGTGAAATTAATTACGGGGAAGCTTTATGGTCACCATAGCGATCTTATTGAGAAATTTTTTTTTTCTTTTTATGATATATTGAAGCTTGACGTGTTTGATCCTCCTCAGTTGATTTCAAGTCGCCACACCTATATCAAAATTCAGAAAGCATTGCTTTCAAAACTTATAAAATGCGATTTGTTAGTTCAATTTTCTTATCATAACTCTAAAATTTGCAAAGCAATCAGTTATTTGTTCTGACGGAAATGCATTTGTCGATGAAAAGAGCAATTTCATTTGATATCATATTTATTATTACTATCAATCAAAAGAAACAAAGATTATAGCATCTTTCAAAACAAATGTAGAATGACATACATGTAAGTCAAATTATACAATAAACTCTATAATACAGCTCTTTCGCAGTTTTAGAACTCCTCAGTGATTCTTAATGCCTTGATTTGGAAAAACATGGTGACTGAGGAAAATCAAAATTGGTCGAAAGAAAGTCTAAATCTAAAAATAGAACTAGGCGCATAACTATTTCACATAGAGCAGAAGGAGGTCAAGTACTCGGGAACGAAAAGTCTTTCAGTAGTGTCTTCCACTTGCATTATCGAAGAGATGAGCTTCTTCCCACACAAATTTGGAATGATATATAGCTATTTTGCTTGATTTTCAACTATAAACAGGCATAAGAATATCGTTCTTTTTTTCTAGCATTACTGAAATGCCGAAAACAGCTTTGGTTGAATGTATTTTTCACTGGACTGTCCTGTGAATTGTAAGGATACTCTTAACTCATGAATCTTCATGCAAATCTGTTTCGTGCATATTTAACCCTAGGTTATTCGTATATGAGTTTGAGTTAAGCTTATGCACTCATGTCAGTATTTTGTATTTTCAGGATGCGTTTCCAGAAAACATGGTACCAAATGTGAAGATGACTGTCCTGTGAATTGTAAGGATACCTGTGGACAGGATACAGGAAATTGTAATGGTAAATTATATATTTAATTTGTTGATTTCCTGAACTACTATACAAATTAATCTAGATAAAAGTATGCATGTTTAAACAACAAGAAAAGGTGATGCATTATTGGTATTTCTAACATTCAACAGAATGAAATTCGTTTTGAACTTAATATCAAATAGATATATTTCGTCAACTGAAAACACCAGGTTCAGAGAGATAATGATTACGATCGTTTTAATAAACTCATTGGAAAATATTTGTTTCCTTTTCCGATATTAAGTAAGACATGTCTGGTGTTAGTTTGTTTAGTGATTCCGTTATTAATTTGTTTTATTCTCATTTGAGAACGTGACACAACATTATTGGATTAACAAAAAAATACATGGCGAGTATCGTCGATTGAGCAATAGGTGCTACCCCTTCCCTAATATCTGGTCTTGTTCACTTTGAACTCATGAATCTCCATGCAAATGTGTTTCGTGCACATTTAACCCTAGGTTATTCGTATATGAGTTTGAGTTAAACTTATGCACTCATGTCAGTATTTTGTATTGTCAGAATGCGTTTCCGGAAAACATGGTACTACATGTGAAGGTGACTGTCCTGTGAATTGTAAGGATACATGTGAGCAGGATACGGGGAATTGTAATGGTAAGTCATATATTTAATTTGTTGATTTCGTGAAATGAGAATATTTGTTCCCTTTTCCGATATTAAGTAAGACGTGTCTGGTGTTAGTTAGTGTGTCTAGTGATTCCGTTTCTATATATGTTCCTTGTTGTCATTTTGGAACACTCCTTAGTTGGACGGACCAAAACTTACATGGCGAGTATCGTCGATTAAGCAGGAGTCGCTCTCTCTTCCGGAATACCTGGTCTTGTTCACTTTAAACTCTGTCATGGATCTCCATGTACTTCCGTTTACGGTATATTTTGTCATAATTTATTCTAATTTGAGTTTGAATTAAGATTATGCACTCATGTCAGTATTTCCTCCGGTTTCCTGCCTGTCTGAATCATCAATATTATTTCCTATTGAAACGGACATCCTTCGTTCGTATACATGCATATTTCCAATATCTCAGTCAAAGAAACCACCACTCAATCAAAGAAACAATAAAATGAAGAAAACAAAAGACCTCACATCTCTATCAGAAAATATAAAAGATCTATAAACACATTTAATTTACTCTACATCTTTCAGATATTAGATTCTTCATTAATCTGTTGCGATTGCGGTTTTTGAAGTCTTCTTGAAAATATGAGAATAAATTTTGACAAATTTGTTTAGTTAATTGTAATACAAGGTAGTGATTAAAGGAACGTTGTTACTCTATCTAGGTTACTAAATTGAATAGGAATTAGTTCATGGAATGTATTTCATATTATCAGGATGCGTTTCCGGAAAACGTGGTCCTACATGTGAAGATGACTGTCCTGTGAATTGTAAGGATATGTGTGAGCAAGATACGGAGAATTGTAATGGTAAGTTATCAATAATATTTGTTGATTCTCTGAGCTGATATTCTTCATTTTGTCTAGGATCTGAAGACTGTATTTTATATTGACATGGTAAGAAAATCTTATTTCACCGCATTTGAGCTTAAGTTAACATTGTGCTCTCCTGTCAGTAATTTCTCTGGTGTTTTTCTTTCTGAATCGTCAACATTATGTCTTATGTAGGCTGACGTCCTCCATTTACTAAACATGTATGTGTTATTGACTTTCTGAACGAGATGGGTATATTTCATTAAACACCAGTCAATCAAATAAACGGAAAAGGAAGAAAACAACAGACCTCACATTCTTATCAGAAGATATCAAACACCATATAAAACATTCAATTTGACCTGCATTTATCAAATAGCATTATTGATTGTCTTAATGAGGAAAGAAACAAAAGTTGATACATTTCCAGGCTTTTTTTTCTGGAAAATATGACATTAAATTAACAAAAGATGTGTCTGACAATTGTAACGTAACGATGTATTTGAAGAATAGGTTTTTACGTTGTTGGTAGGCTGCTTTATTAAAAAGAATTGCATTGATTGAAAGCATTTTACTTGTTCAGAATGTGTTTCTGGAAGACGTGGTACTACATGTGAAGATGACTGTCCTGTGAATTGTAAGGATGCATGTGAGCAGTATACCGGGAATTGTAATGGTGAGATATCAATTTTATTTTGTTGATTCTCTGAGCTGATATTCGTCATTTTGTCGAACATGTTTATACTGTATTTTATATTGACATGGTATGAAAATCTTATTTCATCGCATTTGAGCTTAAGTTAACATTTTGTTCTCATGTCAGTTATTTCTCTGGTGTTGTTCAGAATGTGTTTCTGGAAGACGTGGTACTACATGTGAAGATGACTGTCCTGTGAATTGTAAAAATACATGTGAGCAGGAAACGGGGAATTGTAGTGGTAAGTTATATGTTATATTTGTTAATTCTCCAAGTTACTCGTTTAGGTGAGGACGTCTATTTGCCATGGGTGAAATTAGACATATAACGTCATGTAAATTAAAATCTCTCAATGTTTTGTTTATGTGTCTTACCTCTTTTAGAATCGCCCATACTTCCATATAAAAAGTAACTTTGTTTTCATGGGCATCAACATTTCCTTTGTATATCATGATTGTTACACAGAATAGCATACAAATAATAACTATACCATCAACTATCAAAGGCGAATAGATGTCTTTCAATTTTATAGGTGTTATAAAAAAAACTGAGTAAAACGTAAACAGCACTCAATCAAACAAACAAAAAACAAAAGACCTTACAGCTATTGGTAGATACCTACATGTATTTAAATTTGATTTGATATTAATTCTAAGACTCCTAAAAAGTTTGACGATAATTTTGGATTTAGTCTATCAGATAATTGTAAGGTAATATTGTATCTTAAAGACAGCTGGTACTGTGCTTGATTAAAAATATTTTGAAAAGGTTATATACTGGATCGTCACAACTGCATTAGTTGAAGAGATGTTCAAACATTACAATATCAAGATGAATCACCTATTGTAACAGGGTTAACAAAAGTAGTGTTTATATTCCTCTTTATAAGAGCAACTCTAGCAATCAGGAATATCTAATATAACAGAAATACTCAGTAGGAATGTCACACTAACAAGCTGGACTATATCTAAATTACTGACACAGTTTGATATGATAATGTATATCCATTAATGGGTTAAAATTGATTTTAATTGACACAATGGATGATATGAGAAAAATGCACCTTAAATCATTGCATTCTGTAGAAGTGTAGGAAAAAACATCTTGTGTAATTTTTGATATGTCAAAGATAAGAAACGGTGTAACAATTAACGCACGGATCAATGGCATATCAGTGCGCCCGAGAAGGTCTTTGACTAAAATGTTATGTCTTATTTTCCGCTTTAAGCCCGTGATGATAACGAGCTACGTCTAATTTGGGTTTTTCATCATTCGGTGAAAAGACATTGTTATATTTCATATCATTCGGGCTTTTCGCCATTATATGGAAAGGCCTATTTGTTAGCTTCCTTCGTATGTTTGACCTCTTAATGTTTTGATAATCACAGTTTGCATTGTATGAAATAGGACGTGGATTAAATGTGTTATTACGCTGTTTTCAAAGTAAATAAATCAAAATATGTGGACAAAGACGTCATATGTCAAATTCACAAAAAGGCCATAAATCAAAAAGCCGTTGACTGGACAGTTTATTATGCCTAATTAAAATCGTCGCTGTTGTGTCAAGCGTTATTAAATGTTCGGCTTTTTCACTTTTCAATTTTGTGGAGAAACTCGTGCTGCAATCGATAGCTGATGTCAATCCGATGAATTGGATACCTTCAATTTTCTGTAACGTTTACCATCGAGAGTGTTTGTCATATGAAAGATTTTCTTTCATATTTGTGAAATGTCTGATTTACAACAGATATCCTACATGTGGTAGCATTTTGGAAAATGACCGCCTTATTCAATTTCACTTAATATAAATAAGTGGATTGAAATTCCGGTTTCCGGTATGGTTAGGGTGTTATTTTGGGTGGCAAACTTTAAAGAAATGTGTAGAGTCTTAATATTTGATATGTTACATGTTTGATAAATGAACGATCAATGTTTTGATAATGTATGGCATTGCCCTGAGTACTGTTCAAAAGGGCAAACTATCTAAAACTATATAAACTCCGAAGTAAGCGAGAGACACATGGCAGTGTCAGCAGTATACTTCAAATAGTTGCTAAGATAAAACCGTAAAGATATATCGTGTAGCAAGCTATCTTCCGGTTTTTTTAGGATTCATAATCCTGAATTTCCTTTCAGGCTATACAAGCCTTAGAGTATTGCTATTTAAAACAACATATGCAGAAGTGGTTGACTGTGAATGTTATGAAAAATGAATTCCCTTGATTACTTTCATAAGAATCAAGTTTGTTAGAATGTAAATGTTTTAGTATCAATAAACAAGAGGTACACGGTCATTGATATAACTTTGTGTATTTCAGTACTTAGCGAAAAAACCCCAAGTATTTGTGTGTCTTACATATTTCTTGGCATCTTCACGGATTTAGGTACAACGTTTGTTACCAACGATAACAACGTTTTTAACCAAATTCTAGTTTGAAGGTAAATAACCAAGACAGACAGACAGACATTCTTTATTTCCTCTATTAAGAGATTACATATCATGTCAGATCATTTTACAAAATACGTCTTGGTTTATATTTAAACACATTTGAAATCATATATACAGTATTTGTGAATTTCTTAAAATTTTTCACACTATTTCATTAACGCTATGCATTGCGTCGTTATTGTTTTTCTCTTTTTTTTTTCATTCGGCAACTAAAAAGTCAGTCATTTCATTAGACATTGTGTTGATAGTTTGTTAGAGGTTGATCATCAGATTCTCCCAGATATCATCTGTAAGATGTATAACACTGCGATCTCCTAAAAGAAAACTACACTGCTCCTGCTCATCCAGGTTGGAAAACACAATGTAGTCGTTGACGTCAATAATGTTAACTACTTGATCAAATAACAAATCCCTACTTTTGTATAACTTTGGACATATTATCAGGAAATGAAGAATTATATCGTCTGACTTCTTTCCACACAACCGACATATCAACGTCTCTGTCACATACAGAAACGACCTTTTCACCATTTCAGTTATTTCCCAAGCAACTATAGATGATTTTCGCTTACTTAGCTGTAACACCGGATTCACTCCCTGGTAAGAATGAATCTTTGCGTATCTGTGCAACTCCGGTCTACATGTCATATCTTCGCGCCATTGCCGATCGTAAAAGTCGCTCAAAAAACGGTTCAGAAAACGACTCCAGCATGCTTTGGGAGGTACGAACTCGTTGAATATGAAATCGTTCACAAAGGAAACTATTCCAAACTTCTGAAAGATTTGAAGTATGTCAGGTATGAAGCCTATTCGGAGGTTATAGCAAGGGCCATATATGACATCCAAGAGACGTACAAGGAATATTGCCTTCCATATATATGAAATGCTACCGTTGCATAACTTGTTCCCAATCATTAACTTCTGTGTTTCTATCGCGTTACATATTGACGGTATACCAAGTGATTGGGTGGTTGATGATGTTTTTGGAAGACCAAGACATCGTCTACATGCGTATCTTAGTGTTTTCTCTAACTCTAGAATAGCATTTTTTGTGTAAGAGTTCCATAATTCGCAGCCATACAGCATAGTTGGTAATACTACAAGTTTTACAATGTTTGCACTAATTAACGGATGCATTCCATTTTGATGGATTCCGATTCCTACCAATGAGTTTAGTGATTTCCGTCTCTTTTCACCTGCTTCAATCATTGAACAAGTCGAATTGAGATTCGAGGTAAGTCCTACACCAACATAGGTTTTTGTTGTTTTCCACTGTATTTCCTCATTTCCAAGAGTTAACGTCCGTGAGGGAGATCCTACACGCGATCGGCTAGCGGAAAATGCCATCAAAGAGCTTTTATTGGAGTTGTATATAAGTCTCCATTGACAAGAGTATTTGTAAACGATATCCAGTTCATTTTGTAGCAACTGCATTGATGCAGCAAGAACCAGCGTGTCATCAGCCAGCAATATACAAGGTATGTGGATGTTACTTATCAGCAGACCAGAATGCCCAACGTCAAGTTGCAATGCGAGGTCTTCTATCATTACCAAAAATCACCACGCTGACAGCACTCGGCCTTGACCGATGCCTTGCTGGATTGGGTACTGATCACTTCGCCTCCTGTCGTACAAGACAGTAGAAAATACATCAATGAAAGAGTCGTATAAAAGTCGCCAGCATTTGCCATTGATGCCCAGGTGGTACAATTTAAACATCAGCCCACGGGTCCAAACACTATTGAAAGCCTTCTGGTTATCCAAAAAGGTGGCCAAAACTTTTGATTTTCTTTCAAGATAGTACGCGATCGATTCTTTCACGGCAAAAGCAGCTACCACATTGTTCGCGATGGCCCTGCTGTAACGGGTGAGGAAATATAGTACCTTTGCGGGATAAGAGGATACAGTATTTTTTCAAATAATTTCTGTAACACAGATGTAAGTGTTATGTCCCTATAGTTGTTCATATCAAGTCGATCACGCTTCCCACCCTTGAACAGAGTTATGACAAGACCCAATTTGAAATGGCTTGGGTACACTCCGAACTTTAGCATCCCATTATATATGTCGACTATGGCATCTATCAGACTGTCACTGGCGAATTTGATGTGCTCCGTCACGATAGAGTCGTGACCACTAGCCTTTCCATTTTTCATATCTTTAAGATTACGTTTAAGTTCATCTGAGGTTATGGGGTAGCTACAAATATTGCCGTCATTGGAGAAGCTAGCAGTGTGCATGGATTCAACACTTCCTTCTACGTATTCTTTGAAACTTTTGCTAAAATGCGGTTGACATGTTAGTTTGGCTAATTCACTGAAATTTTGCATCCACGCATTCCTCACTTCATCGGGGTCGCGTATAATTTTACCGTCAACACGAAGTTCATGTGATGTGACATTGCTATTGTTAGACAGCTTCCTCTTTGTTCTGACGGCCTGGTGAAACGTTCCGATGTCAATACAGCAACTTCTTCAAGTTTTTCGAACTGCTTGCGCTCATACTCTTCACGTGCTTTAACAAGTTCAGTACGAAACATCGTTTCAGCATTTTTATAGTTCCGATATGAAACGAATTGAAAACCTCTTGGTCGCCCTTCGTTTATCCAGATTGCTCGCAAATGTCTCATAGTATTATGTAGAGACTTTACATTGTAATCTTTCCAGTACGGCTTTAGATAATGTCGATACCTTCTACTAGGGAGAGCAGAAGACGAAGCATTATTTAGTATGTCAACAACACTTTTAACGGCTTGGTTGATGCTGTTACTACTGTTGAGTCAATATGGTGAT